ATATCTCCACAACAAAACTCACAAGGCCATCACACAGCCCATTATACCAACATCAACTCCATCAACCAATCAAGAGGCAGCAGCGCAGCCAACCAGCCCCCACCACCAGTATTTATAGAGAGACGGCAGCTCCAATCACACACTGCTTGCACTGGCATGAAGCCGAAAGCACCAGCCTGAGGATGGCGAGTGGGACCTCGCTGAAACATCGCCAAGATACTCTTAATCTTACACGGGAAAAGACCCGAACACACCTAGACCTACATACCTGTACCCGTGAAAATCTACGAAAACACACACATACATACATACATATATACATACAGTAAATACACACACACACACACCCCTATACATTTAGGCTTTGTACCATTTTAGATCTTATTCTTATACCTCATTTCTATTTCGCCTTAAATTCTAGTTTCAATTTTATGAACTTCCTTTCATGTCCTTCCATCCGTAGAATTTGTTCCATACTTTATAGTATTCTAGATTATCTTGTTCTTTCAATTCTAGTGTCAAACTATTTAATTCAGTGCATTGAAAAATCTTATCTATTACAGCATCGTCATTTGGAATTTCTTTTGTTTTCAAAGTTTGGGCGAAAAGTATTCTTGCTGCTGTGATTACATGTATAGTTAGGTTAAATGTCTGCTTTGCTAGGGTTCTCTTTTATTATTCCCAATAAGAACGTCTCTGGTGCATACCCAGTTTTTAGTCCCAACATTTCCTCAAGCCATGACCAAATTTTATACCAGAACACCTGTGGTTTTTTTTAGGCCCACCACATATGGTAGAAAGTACCCTGTTCTTCCTCGCATTTCCAGCATACGGATCATTGAGTACCATACATTTTTGCTAATCTGGCCGGTGGGTGATGCCACCTATAAAACATCTTGTACAGATTTTCCTTAAAAGATATTGCTAGCGTAATCTTTGTTTCGGTTACAAACAAAATTTGCTGCCATTTATCTAGGTTTATATTATGTCTGAGGTCTCTAGCCCAGGTTAACATTGATTCTTTAACTTGTTCTTCATACATTTTATGGTCAGGTAGACATTTATAAAGTTTTTTTATTTGTTTTGTCTCTGGTCCTGTTAATATTTTATCTATTGCTGTATCTTGACAGTTAATTCCACATTCTTTTTTGTCTTTTTCGTATCTAGACTGTATTTAAAGATAGGCCCACCATTCCAAATGCTTTGGAAAGTTTGAGTTTGTTACCTGTGGAAAAGCATGTATTTTAATGCTTGCATTTTCAAGTTATTTGTTACCTAGTAAAGGGAATACATGTGGGACATGCATTTAGGGCAGATTGTAATTAGAAGGCGTGCAAAAGTGTGTTTTTTTGCTCATTGCTGTTATTCTGTTTACATCGTGCCACGATGGATAACACGAGATCCTGTCCAGTTGGGACTCCCGAATTCTATTTACTTTCATTTATTTTGATAAAGCGGATGATGCCGACGCTGGTACCTCATGAAGCTGTGTGTAAGGAAGTTGCTACAGGTAGTCCTCAA